TTACGTGATTCATTATCGCAACCTGCAGCAGTGCATGCGTCACGGTCTTCGTATTGGAAAGATACACCGCGTATTCAAATTTGCTCAATCCCCATGGCTCCGCGATTATATCGAACTTAACACGCAGTTTAGAACACGCTCGACAAACGATTTCGAGAAAAATTTATACAAATTTATGAACAATGTAATATTCGTCAAAATCATGGGTTCGCAATCACGTAGACGTAAAACTGTTGACAAAATGGGACGGACGATACGATGCCGAGGCCATGATCGCGAAATCAAATTTTCACAGCAGAAATGTCTTTTCGGAAAATTTAATCGCCATTGAGCTGCGTAAACTCGAGGTGAAATTCGACAAGCCGATCTATGTGGGTATGTGTATCCTTGACATATCCAAGACCTGCTTGTACGAATTTCATCACGAGTACATGTCTCCCCTGTATCAAAACAGATGTAAAGTAATGTACACCGATACTGACAGTTTGATCTACCATATCCAATGCGATGATATTTTCAAGCACATGAAACGCAATATTTTTAAATTTGATACGAGTGATTATCCCGCTGATAACGTGTACGGTATACCGCTTGCCAACAAGGAGGTACCGGGTCTGATGAAAGATGAAAATAACGGAGCGATTATGACGGAATTCGTCGGATTCAGAGCAAAGATGTACGCGCTGAAGGTAGACAGCAAAAAGGACACGAAAAGGCGAAAGGCGTCAAGACCAACGTCGTAGCGCGAACTATAACGTTCGATGATTATAATATGTAGTGTCTGAAGGGCAAGGTCGAAAAGCGACGTCGTCAGTCATGCATACGATCCAAAATGTACAAAGTCTACACCGTGTCCGAACTAAAAATTGCTCTGGGTCCGTGTGATGACAAGGTATGATGACAAGGTGGTATATCGTACCAGACTCAACAGACACTTTACCATGGGGGCATTACAGGATGCCGTTGTAAAATAAAAAAACGATAATTATACATATATTTGTTTGTAAGAAATATTGTTAACTATAATAAAAAAGATGAGTTATTTCAAGCTGTTTATAATAGGATATTGTAATAAAAAATGTTTATAATAAAGAATTGGTTACAATACATTTTCTTTGTGTATCCAAGAGTTGTGTGAGTTGTCAAATCCCAGCCATTTCACTAAAATCTTGTTGCCGCTTTTACGCAACACCTTTTCCACGAGATAAACGTCAGGATTAACAGCGCGATGCAGTTCGTATTCGTAAAATCCTCCGGCAATAGGCTTTCCGCGAGAATCCTCAAGCAGATAGGTCGCTGGATTGGTTGCTTGTACGTTGATGATCTTAAACACTTCGGTGGTCCTGTTCGGAATGTAACCTTTCTCGAAGATAGTTTTGAATTTGCTCACGTGTACCGAGTCGCCCATTTTAAATCTCGCAGGCGCTGCGATCTTTACGTTGTGGGTAGGAGCTTATCAGCGATCTTGAATGTAACATCGGCAGGACACATACCGATAGTTCGATGCTTGTTATTTTTAGCGAAACATTTTATAATATGTAGACATTTATAAAGTTTGTATTTGATTTTCACATGTATAAAATTTATACGTTGCTTGAGAAATATATAATCAGTTCATACGATTTATATATTTTTTATTTCATATTGCGTTCAAATATCCCGAAATGTCCTTATTTTTTATATAAAAACGAAATAAATTAAAAAATAAATAGATAATTATTAATAACGTATTACTATATGTCGAAAATTAAAGAAAAAAATAAAAAAAACCATGAAGTGAAGCAGTCGTCGGTGGGATCCGAACGCTCGCCGCCGGTGCAAAATTCTATGTGCGGGAGCTTTAGTTTCCTCAGTTACGCCGCTTACTCGAAAGACGTAAAGTTCTGCTTATGTGGGACATAGTTGCGTGACCCTAACTTTGTCTCTTAAATTCTTTTAAACAAAGGTGCATTGGCACAAACGGCTTTAGGGTTTTCATCACCTACATACAAGCTATCGAACGCACTATGACTCGTTCGAAAAACGATTTTCTAATTGGCGTCATCTCCTTGTTAAGCTTTATAAGGTTGGTACTTTCTACCATAGTCATTCTATTCAAACAACAACCACCATCTATACGTCAGGTACTTCTGGGACTACCTTCGTAAGAACCTTCACTAGACAACTACTAGCAATAAGCGACGAAGTGGTTTAGGAGGTTGGAACGTTCGATAGTAGCCGCAGGTCTCAGGTTCGAGTTTAGCAACACCCGGCATGTTTTCCATGGACATATGCGTGACGTCACGGCTGCCATCTTGGCCATAGAATCAAAAAATTCTGGGGAGGAGGGAGAGTATTCAATAAAAGGGAGTATTAATTAGAATATTTCATTAATAAAGTCAGGTTTGAAAATATTTTATTAAAAAGGTCAGGTTTAAAAATATTTCATTAAAAAGGTCAGGATTTTGAAAATTCATTTTAAGAAGTGAGTTAGAATCCCCTTTGTTTAACTACTCTCCGCCTCGGCCGCCGCTGTCACTACCATTTCTTTCGCTATTACCTTCCTCACTGCCGCCGTCGTCGCCGTCGTCTTTGCCGTCGTTAACTTTTTGAGGCACGTATTTTTCAGAAAATCCGAATCACATGAAATTTTGATATACGGGAGTTTCTGGGGTCGCTGATAACGAACCCGTTATCAGATTTTCAAAATTCAAGATAGCGGATTCAAGATAGCAGCCACAAATATGAAAAATCGCGATAATTTCGGGTGACAATGAGTTTGGACCTCGGATCCGTAATCAGCGACCTTGAAAGCTAACCAAAGTACAATTTCAGCTTATCATAAAAAAATTTTATGACCCGCCACCTTGGAAAATAAATTTTAGAATTCGGACCTCAGATTCATAATCAGCGGGCTCAAAAAACTAACCAGAGTACAACTTTAGCTAATTTTATGTACATTTTATGATCCGCCATCTGAAATCCGCCATCTTGGAAAATGAATTTTTAGAATGTGGACTTCAGATTCATAATCAGCGACCTTAAAAACTAACCAGAGTACAATTTTAGCTAATTTAATAAAAATTCTATGATCCGCCATTTTAAATCCGCCATATTGAAAAATTAATTTGGAAATTAGACCTCAGATTCGTAATCAGCGATCCAAGAAACCATCAAATCTTGATTTTGAGCAAAAAATTCACTCATAGTTCGTGGAAAATAATTTTTTTCTGTAGAAACGTATATTTTTCACACTTTGTTTATTTATAACAAATAACAACCTATATAAAACATTTTTCAACCTTTCATATATGTTCCCATATAATATAAGCAGTTATAAACGCAAAAGACCCGATAAGAATCCCTCAAATATGAAATATTTCATGAAAATATGAGAATAAATAGGTGGTAAGTATTTACCATTATGCTCAAAGGGTTAAGATACGGGCCGTCATTGCCGACGACTAGTCCCCGGCTGCCCCAATCGTGGAACTCCCGGAAATCAGAACTATAAAAATCTGTCAGAAGCAAACGAACAATGTAAAATCACTTCAGTCAAAGAAAAAATGAGTTGTTAACTGAAATTACAGATATACACGCATTTACACGCTGCCCGTTAAGCGATCGATCAACAGTTTTTTCGATTGCCTGATAGGAATCGTTGACAATTATGCAATTAAAAATAAGTTGACCTTAAGAGCGTCTTCACATAAGATAGTCACAATAAAAAATGCGCGCAAAGTCACTCAGCCCAATGTGCACTTATAGTCGCTCACCGTAAATAGTCACCGGCGCCGCCAGGCGGCGAGACCTCGTCGCGATCATTGAGATAAGTTTAGAGGTGATGCCGTCACATTAACAGAAAAGACCACGAAATGCTAATCTCTTAAAATTCCGATCACACAGAGGAGCGTGAAAAGCTTATAAAATTTTTGATACTAATGCGCCCTAAAATATTAGATTATGAGTAGGCATCTGTAAAGAAAGAAACCCGGTAACAGTAAACATTGACATGGAATGCACAAGATGCGCGCCGAATGCGGCGAAGTTAATCGAACAACACGGAAGCCGACAGAGTCACACAACTTAAGAGAGGAATACTTAGCGACAAGCTCTACCGAGAGTTCTATCTTGGATGGAGTTCAATATGAGTAAGTGTATATAATGTTAATTATGATTTATTCGAGGCTAAATGTAAATAAAAGCAAACACTGTATGACGAACAATACAACAGACGCGATTCCAAACACTGAGGCTATCGTAACGTGCCCAGGATCAAATTGTTCCACTTCGTATTTAATAACTATATTCCCTCTTATCAGAAGATCTTATTTCTGTCGAAATGGGTTTTTTACGGATTAAATAATCCATTATTAATAGCTTCTAGTTGAAAGCTACGTTTTTATCCATATCACAGAACGCTTAATAAATCAACTGGAAAACTACTTTCCGTGGTGAATTAGGAAACAGGGGATTGGAGTACTGTAGACTTTCTACTCATCTCTCACTTTTTCGCGGTCGATTCTCTCTTCATCAGTTATTACTTCTCTCTCCATCTGAGCGCCCTGCCTCTCGCCTTTCGCTAATGGCCTGCTAATGCTATCAGCGTGCAAACTCTCAATAATGAAAATGGGAGCGAGGAAATAAACGAAGCGTGCGATAATCCCAATCGCGAGATTACTATCATAACTAATCCTCACGCTTGTAGATCCTGCGGTATTGAACAAAAAGATCGTCCGAAAAGAACTACTTAGAAAGAGGTACATAGCACAATAAAGCAGGCAGCCAAGGGTGCTGGACACAGCTAAACATAATTACCACTTAACGTCTAGTGTTAGATTGCCTTCCGGTCCTGGGCGAGATTGTGGCACGCATACAGGAGAGACTACTATCGCCTCTGTTCTTTCTATAAATGAATCAGCAGTATTCGGTGAATTGAATATTCATTAGTAAAAGATACGAGAATGCAAATTTCTTAATTCGTCGACCTAATTTTATTATGTCGGAGAGTTTCATAAATAATGGTAGCGTACGCGGCAAAATACTACAACAAGCCAGTTCTATCTGAGTTAAAATTCGCTGCGAACACAGAAAATATTCTAGTTAAAGTAAAGGCGCACATGGCTATTCTTTTAGAGAGTATACCAAAGTAGTAGCAATCTTATACATGCTGGATATTACGCTTCAACATGATAATTATAAAAATGATGGCTTCATAACAGAGTCTTGTCGAATTGTAGGTAATTTCTAAATATACTGAACGATCGAACTCGTGATGTTGCATTTCCGTCCATATTAGCAGTAACAACAGTGCAGCGTTTAATATGGACGGAAAGCGCTTTCGGTAATCCTGGGCTATTTGCGGCTTTGAGCCTTTTAAGAAGCAATCGTATCCAATTCAGAAACCATAACAGTGAATTAAGACTCACCGTCCATTTCTCGGTGTTTAGACCGACAGGAATAATTCGAAACTCAACAAATTTAGCGGTGTATGTTCGTTCGATTTCCAAATTGCGAGCTCTGTGTTCACATTAGATATTTGACAAAAACACACATGAATTTCTAGAGTGGACATAATCTGTCCTACACGGATAACGATATTCTCGAGTTTTAGCCAGCTGAAACAAAACGCGTGTCTTCGTTTTAAGTCACAAGCAGTTTAATTCGACGATACCTGTTACGATCTATACGTAATCATTTTACGGTAATATGAGATACGAGAGAAACGAGTAAACATTTGGTGAGTGAGTTACCACCGTCGCACCCGGCGGCCGTCGGGCCAGTACACTTCGTATGACGCCTCGGAACACTTGGCGGATAGTAGTACATAGCTGTAAGCAATGCCTGCCGGGAACGGCATTAATCTCTGTAAAGAGAATCACCGTACAGAATAGAACTAATCCGTTGTGCACCTAGAAGCAGCTATAGTGTTGCTCTAAATTTTCCGGTACGTTCACTCTACTGAGATTAACTTACTCCGAAACTATTTTCGTATGCAAAACCACTACTGTATAGCATACATTTCAATTTGAAGGTTATTTTATTCGCTAAATTATATGGATCTCAATAAACTGAATATTATCCTCTCGTTGAGATCTTTTGAGCAAACTGTGATTAATAACGCCTCAACATGTATTTATCCTTCTTCACACCATAGGACTTATTTCTGATGCGCGACCCAGGGCAACTTTATGAATCTAATATCATATATGTCCTTGTCCATTCGCCTCGCGAATAGTAAGCATATTGACAAACAAATATGATTTATTCTAGAAATTATGGAGAGAATTAATCGAATGTATTATGATTAAAACTATGTTTCAACATTTTAATTTTGATTTAAAGAACAAGTAATATTAACAAAGAGAATTAAGAACTTAAACTACTCTACTGGACCGGGATGTACTCATTTCTGAAGCCCAAAACTACCTATAAGATATTTTAAATGAACAAAAGTTTTATAAAAAATATCATAATAGAACAAACGCAATCACTATCTGTATAAATAAATATACTTAAACACGTTGGCGGAAAAAAACTATTTGCGAGTTAATTTTGGATTCATGGGGGACTTCGTCCAGAAATATCGTATATCATTAATTTTCCACTAACTTGATAGAGATATAAAGTGGCCACATCGTAGACACCGCTGCACGGTATTCATACAATGTCACCAAATCTAGTTTACAGGTAGATGGTTTGCTATCATTTCCCGTTTTTTTCGTGAGCTAAAGCCGAAAGCTGACAGACTGATTATGTAAATATTTAATATAAAACCCAAAATCTAAAGAATCCATCAAGTTCTTCATTCTATACGCAGCGGCTAAACTATCTTTCTGTATTCAACACGAGACCTGCGACGTGATAGAAAACTACCCCGCGTCTACATATGTAATGCTGGGTCGCGTAGCTGTGCATCTCTCATAGACACGAAGATGGCCCATCGCCATGAGGGCTCGCTTAGTGCGTCGGGAAACCCCGAGACTCCTGCTTTGACTTTCAGAAGACTACTCTATTTGATTGCTGCAGCTTCCACCCACGCGAGAAAGTTTGAAAGGGTTTGTTGATTAACGGAATAATTTCTGCGCTTGAATTCTGTCTTGAGGATTCGCGGCTTCAGAACTACTCCCTCTCAGAGCGCGGAAACTAGGCATTCCAGGTTCGTGCGCTTTCGGACAATTTCAGAATCAACTTTTATGAAATATGTTTTAAGGTGTCTAACTAAGACCGCTCGTGGGAATAACGGCTATTCTACACATCGCTATCGAGTGGTGCGTAGTTCTGGACGAGCTATCTAACACCAGCGTGTGAGAACGGGTGAATATGAGTATCGAATAATTGTTTATTGTCTTAAGGCTATCGCCACGAGAGCGTGCGTAAAGTAGGATTTATGTTCTTCCATCGTCAGCATCACGTACGAGGGATCTTTTCGCCGTATTGTATACGAACACGGCTAGAAAAAGCAAAACTGATGAGTAATATCGCGCACCTAGGCACCAACGGCGAAAGGACAGTAAAAATGCACGTGGAGAGATCGAGAGAGCTATTTGTCTCGAGAAACGTAACGGAGCGAGTCAAGTATATGGAGTATGTAAAAGAAAAAACCTAGAGTGTAATATTGAATTTAAAATTAATTAAAGGATGCTGATCATAAATATAAGTACAAATACTTACCCGCACGTATAAGGTAGCTCACAACTGCACGAGATAATATCATAATCAATCCGCAGTGCGCGTCATCTGTGATCCTCACCGCTACCTTATATTATGTCATACTGTACGCAAACAACCTATACGTGTGAGACTGAAGGATAAATAGTGCTCACGCGTAGCTGTGGCAGGACTGCACGGGGTGGGCTCGGAACTAAATTCATCTGCATCCTTTCCACATCTAATTTTCGGGTAAAACCAAAGTCGTTTGCGGCTAATATACAACTGAGAATTAATCTTGATTTGGTGTGAAGTAGAGTGTTCAGGTAGACGCATACATGGAGTGAGCGCTCCGAGCTAACAAAACCGCATGCGCCGCGCAGGAACACTCGCAATATGTAGTTGTGTCCTGACGACTATTATACGTCTGCTGTACAAACGCACGAACAATAGTTTGAGAGTGAGACTACGGAATTGCCCGACTGGTTGTAGAATATTTATCCATTTCCATTTATCGGAAAGAAGGTATTTTTTCTCCTACTATACCTATGTTATTCAACTATTTCTGCACAGAATGACAGCGATGTAGATTAACGATGTTCTGATAGTATACTGTTAACTAATGGGACCATGCATTGATTTTCAACATAAGACAGTAAAGCACAATCCAGAGTTTTTACATTCTATATGAGTTTAATAGCTATTTGTATTAATCCACTGTCACCTGAGGAGTGATAATTAATCGCATAATGCATTATAAACACAGCTCCATGAGAGTTCCCTGGTACAAACGCATAGATAAAAATAGTCACAAGTTTGGGATCTGGTTATATGTTATCTTTTATTAATATTATCTTTAATATCTGCTTTGCCCAAATTTTATTTTCTTCTCATGACTTTTCTCGAAAAACCTGAATTTTTTTTACACCCAGCGCCCAATTTATTTGATCTTAGAAAAGAAAATTAAAGTCTCGGCGAGAATACATTCGAGACTCAGAGGAAAAATTGCACGAGGATACTAGAAACCACTAATTTAGAATACACTACACAACAGATTTACTGCAATCATCAGAGATCAAATCATAAATACGCCATATATACATCGTGCAGCATATTTTTAATACACAGGACTAACACTTAAACAACGTAAAACGAGTTTTACATTTGTCGATTGTCACACTGAAGTAATCGTAAAGTAACTCGCGTTGCTAATGCGAGGGCCGCCTTTATATGGGCTTTTCCCTCAGGTAATTGAGACACTAAACAGGAGCCACTGTTCTAACTGTCGGTCAAGGAGCAGACAACTCAATGTCTTCTCGAATCTCCATAAAACTTGTTGGAGTCATTATCGGGAGTTGGCGAGGCAAGTGAGCACGTGGAATACAAATGAACGACGAAAGAAGGCCGCGGCAATGTCATATAAACAAGCCGACTCTGGCATAAGCACTTGCCCGAGCTCCGTTTCGGAATGTATTGTATCCGCAGTAGTAACCCGCGACGTATTTAGCTTTGACCTCTTAGAACTGTACAATTATGGAATCGAGCCACGTAGCGGTTGAAAATCCAAAATTACGCGAATTTGAAGGCAACTGAGCACAGGATACGAACGAAGTATCGCGCCGATGCAAGCACGAATATTCGTTGTCCCGGCAAGGCGGAGGTCGCCAACAGCTTTCAAGCCCTCGAAACCGGATTTCCGGTTACGTTTGGCGCTACTTCTTTACAGCGCCGGTGCGGATATCGACAAGTCTGTCACGCGGAACGATATCTCTTAACCCCCGCGTGCGGTAGTGACATTTTTCGTTTGCTTTAACCGTCTGGAACCAGCAATTGAGTGATATATCATAGTTTGTACGATCGGATTTCGGCGGCGTTGATATCCACAAGTTAACGCGTGGATCTTTCAAATGGCACACGGGAATCTCCATGTCGCCCCAGTTCACATTGTAGATAATTTCATTTCATTTATTTTCCGACGGCTAGACTCTTAAAGTTCCTCTTCCCGGCGCCTCACAGTAGGGACCGGCACGCCCATATCTGGTTGAGGCCACCCCAGTCTTCGTCGACAACGATATTTTATTCATTACCTGTTAAATTTGAATTCTCAATTAATCATATTTTTTGTTGCTTTCCAATGAAAACCAACAGTGTCAAAGGCGGTGGCGGCGGGGGTGACCCGCGGGAGAAATAGAAAGGCTGGTAGGCGGACGCGCGTCAGAGCTCGTGGAAGCGCTAGCACCGGTCCGTCGTCTCGGGCGGGAAATCAAAGCGGGCGCGCGGGCGATAAGGCGGAGGATAGGGAGGCCAGTGGGAGCACAGATTGTGAGAGGGGATACTCTCGCGCGGCGCGCTACTGACGGCGAATACGTTCTTTCCAACGAGCCGACAGATGTGAACGGACCGCTATTGTTTCTTAAATTCTCGGCGCCG